TAAAGCGGGAGACGACGAGTACGAGTTTTTTATATCTCAAACTGTATCCTGTCAAGGATAAAGTGTGAAATATGCTGGGATTAATAAAGAATGTCTCTGGAAGCTCATCAAGAGAACGCCCAGAGTGAGTGAAGCAGTGATCAGAGCTAAAGGAGGCTACTTTAAAGAACCTAGAATATCATCTTCAGTTGTTTAACACTTTTTTGTGAAGTATATAATTCCACATGTGTTCATTCATAGTTTTGATGCCTTCAGTGTGAATCTACAATTTTCATAATCATTAAAATAAAGAAAACTCTTTGAATGAAAAGGTGTCTGTACTGTACAAACTATACAAAAATAAACACATAACAATGGAAATACACACATTATTAATATAATTTCACTTAATTTCACTAAAGATGACATCCTCCCTCTATGCTGAACATAGAATATATAAATAAAATCCACCCTCATAGATCTATAGACACTATATTTAGACTATCAGGAGTTTCTCTAAGATGTTATATTAAAACATATTATTTCTCCTCTTCTATAAACCTTTCTAGAATCACTTCCTTATACCTCTATGTAAATATCTCTATGCTTATGCCTCGTTTTATCTCCTCATCCAAACATTGAGTCTCTCCTCATCGCTTGGTTGGTCTTTTAATTCAGGTTTTAGTCTCTTCCAGTCAACCTGTTTCTCTGCACTCATTTATTTCTGCCTGTCAACAATATTTAAGTTGTTTTGAATTTAACCAAATCCAGGAATTAAAAAAATGTGATTTTATAAACGTTGCTTAGTGCGTTTCCTGTTTGGTTTATTGCCTTACAGCTTTATTGCTGTGTTTATGGCCGACATAGACAGCAGAGCGCTTCTATAGACATTTCCCACTAGACTTCCACACAGTCTGACAGATATGCTAAAAGAATATAATAATAATAATAATAATAATAATAATAATAATAATAATTGAACTTTATTGATCCCACATTGGAGAAATTCCCCCTCTGCATTTAGCCCCTCCCCCTGGGCAGCAGTGAGCTGCCATTGTGCGGCGCCCGGGGAGCAGGGTGGGGTTTTTCAGGGACCCAGAGTGGAGGCTGTGGGGGTGGGGCAGGAAGCTCTATGCTGGAACCAGTAGGCCGCCGCTCTCCTGAACAATCAACAGTCTGGAGGGATTCATGATCAACATGTTGCTGATTCTCTAAAAGAATTCTGAGCATTTCCTTTATTTTCTTTCTCGATCTGTGAATCATCAGTTATCGACTGATAACATGTGATTCTGAACATCTACTTTCCTGAACTATAATCTTTTTTTATTCAGATTTAAAGGCACAAACAAACAAACCATCATTTTAGTTTGTTTATCTTCAACAAAATCTGCAGCAGATTTTCTCTTGAACAGAAAATACAGAAAAACAACTTATAGATTAGAAACAACAAAGGACCCAAAATGGCCCCCTGTGGGACTCCAGAGGTAATATCAAAGTATTCTGCTTCTGCTCTATTTCTACATATTATTTATTAAACAGCTGTTATATATTATATATTATTATATATGCAGCTGATCCAGAACGCAGCCATTTCTGTTTTTCTTTCTGAGTTTTATTTCATGATAATAATCCAGGTTTGGGTTCCTGCTCTGAATGAAAAACGTCCATCATTCTCTCACAGAGAAGGAGACCCCGCCCCCTATGTGAGGAGATGGCGAAGGAATGCGCTGCGTACCTCCTTTCCCGTGCTGGAGTACTCCTTCACCTTCTCCACAGCCACGATATTGGTCTCTACATCAGAGGACATTCTGACCAGCCAGGTCAGAGACGTGGTTAGCTGCATTCAAAGGCAAACAGAGGTCAGGATAGGCTCCTCCTCCCCGGACACTGGGAAGTGTTAGGTTTACCTGCAGGGCATAGGAGATGGAAAGCCCCATGATGCCTGGGCTGAGCTGGTCTCTGGCCATCACAGCGAACAGGGCAGCAAACGACACGATGCAGTTTCCTACAAACTCCAGGCGAATGGCCAGCCACCTGCACAGTCAGAGAACATCAGGCCGTTTTTCCTGAAACGGAAATCACAGGAGCCGCTCTGGAACCGGTGAGCAGACTGGGATGTTTTTAAGCTCAACTGGTCTCATTCTGACCAGTTTAAGAAGGCTGGGAAGATGGCGGCGCCGCTAACCTGTTGGCTACTATGCCAGGGTAGTAGGCCTTCTGGTTGTGGTCGACCCGCTGGTCGCTCTGCTGGATGAAACGCTCCTGCTCGCCAAAAGCTCGGATGACAGAGGTGCCCAGCAATGTCTCGCTAAAGTGGGTGTAGATGGGAGAACGGCTGACAGACTCCAGGCGCTTCAGCTGGCGAGACGTTGCCACATAGAACCTCTGGAGACAAAGAGCCAGTTGAGTGGAGCAGAAGGAGCTGAACTACAGGAAGGACTGATAACCCACCTGCACAAAAAAGTAGAGCAGCCCCAGGAAAGGAATGATGATGGCCACTAATGGCGTGGCAAACAGGATGATGAGACACGAACCCAACACGTTGAACATGGATCCCATGAACATCTTGAGAATGTTGGGAATTACTGAATCAATGGTGTCCATCTCCTTGGCGAAGCGGTTGACCAGGTTGCCGCTCGGGGTTTTCTCAAAGAAGGACATGGGTGAGCGCAGGACGTCGTACAGTAAGGACTGGTGGAGGTAGCGGGAAGCCATGATGCCCCCGATGGACATGGAGAGGGAATAACCAAAGACTGCTACACCTACAAGGTCACAGAGGAAGGAAGACTGTTCAGAACATCTGCACACTCCTCCAACTTCTTCTGTCAACCACAAACCTACAGGTCATGCATTGGGTTGACTTGTATTGAAGCTAATTCCTGTTCTGAAATAAGTGGCGTGAATGCTGAAGATGAGGATGATGATGAGTGACTGTTTAATGCTCTGATTGAGGTCGAGTCCAAACATCGTTCAACTTTACTTTATTAATGGCTTCCGGTCTTTTCTATTTCTCCTGGACAGAACATATGAAGGAGGAACTGTCCTGTAAACGGATTCCCTCATCAGGTAGCGGATCAGAGGTTGATCCACTAGAGCAGTGGTTCCCAAAGAATTTCTTCTGGGCCCCCCTTTGGATTACAATAAAATGTCCCCGCCCCCCCCCCCCAACACCAAAAAAAAAAAAAAGAATCAACTTGGCACACACATCGTTCAACCAG